CATACATAGACCTTTACTTTTCATTTTGAAGCATTTGACAACTTTCTAAAGTTCTTTATTTTTGGGGATTTTCCAAGTAATATATATATGTGTGTGTGTGTGTGTGTGTGTGTGTGTATAAAATATGGTTCACTCCTGTAAAATGAAATTGCTGGAATCAGTCAAGTCATTGCACCCAGTAGAGTTATTTGTTACAAACAATTGTGTTGCACACTAATAGTCAAGTCCGGAATTATATTCTGCAATCAATCATTTCTGTTTTAAACACTCGGGTATTACAGAAATAGGACTCATTCAATAGATTTATTTATATTTTTTAAAATATATGACTTCAGCTCAATGAAAGAAGGCTGTATTATGCAGGTTTGTTTCAATTTCCCAACATTAAAGTGGTCTGATATGTGTCAGTTTCTGAAAATTATGATCAGTGAGAGGTCTGACAGTGTAAGGAAGTCATAACTCCTGTGTAGAATGGGGATCCCAAGGTATTTAAACTGAAGTGCTCAACTGTTTTCAGCATCCCTTTTTATAAGATTATGCACTTATGAGTGATAGATGAATCTGCAGAGGCTTTCAAATTATAATCTAAAAAGAAGGAAAGTCGGTGCAGGGCACAGAGAAGTTTGTAAAGTACACCTTTTTACCAGCAATAGTTCATTTTAAAAATAATGCCAGATTTTGCCAAGATCAGTGTTTCCTCAAAATGAAGATAGAAATACATTTGTTTATTGTGCTCTTGTACCTCTACATAGGTTCTTAATAATTTTGAGCAGTTATGCATTTATCTAAAGGTAATAAATCACCTGTGAGTAAATGCATGTTTATGAAAATGGCTATTTACAGTGCATTTAGTTCTGATACTTATAAAGTTGACATTTCACAGAATAATTTTAAAGTGCTTTGGGATTATATATAGTTTAGACATCAATCATATCTGGAGACAAAGGTAAATGTGCAATATTTTTTATGTAAGTTGAGCTAACACGGTAATTGCAAAATGAGCTGATTAATTTGTAATAGATAAGTTGTATAATGTTTTCATATCTTAAAATGGTTTTTAGATTCATCTTCAAGTAAAATATTATTTTTAAAATAAAACCTCAGAAAAATTCTGCCTATGGATATGCACATTTTTGGGCAAGATATGAATTACAGCCAAAAGTAGTAGTTGATAATTTTACATACTCTGCTATGATTTTGAAGCTTCTTATCAGTTAAATCTGTAAAGTTTTTAAAGATTTTTGTGATTATTAGATGCATCAGTGTTATAATTAGATATTTGGGTTTTTCAGGTTTTTATGGAAAATTTAAGGAATTCATTATTTCTTTGACATGTAATTACTTTGAGTGTTAAGATCATATTTAAAAGGGCTCCAATGACTTGGGATGTGAATGTTAAAACATACACATAAGTTAACTAGATGTACAATTTGGTATGAAACCTTTTCTAAAATGTCACTACCAGGAAATTAATAGATTCAGTTTTTAAGACAATCATTTGTCTGGATTGGTTACTAAAAACTATCTTCTTTAAGAGGTTTTCTTTTAAAATATTTTTAGTGTATTAATTGTACTTGGTTTTGTTGGGGGGGAGAGTAAACCACACCATTAACAGAATAAATGTAACTTGGAAGAGGTAATTATAAAATTTGTTTCAGGCCCCAAAATATAAATAAAGATTGGTGTGGAATCTCATTAGTGTATGTTTTCTACCATCTTTTTTTTTAGCATCCATTTCTAATAGTATAATACATAATAGGTAAATTCCCCAAATAGAGTTTATTTTTTGTGTCATTTTGTTTCTTCAAAGGAACACATGAAGTGTGATGGTAGATGAGATTTTTAAATTTTATTTTTTACATAGGAATTCTATTAGATCCAAAGTTCCTACAACACTGCCTTATGGTAGCCTTTACATTTAAATTGAATTTTTTGGCCTACGCCGAGGCTCAATAGGCTAATCCTCTGCCTGCGGCACTGGCACATCAGGTTCTAGTATTGGTCAGGGTGCCGGCTTCCAGTCCAGCTCTCTGCAGTGGCCCGGGAAGGCAGTGGAGGATGGCCCAAGTGCTTGGGCCCTGTACCTGCTTGGGAGACCAGGAGAAGCACCTGGCTCCTGGCTTTGGATCAGCGCGGGGCTGCAGTGGCCATTGAGGGGTAAACCAACGGCAAAGGAAGACCTTTCTGTCTGTCTCTCTCTCTCACTGTCCACTCTGCCTGTCAAAAAAAAATTGAATTTTTCTTCCCTTTATATAAATTAAAATGTATTTTAGTTTATTGAAGTTTGTAAAATGTACTAAATATAGTTCAATGGAAACTGCATTTCAATGGAAACATAATGAGAGTCTTTGGATTCTGCTGATGTATTTTTGGCAAATTGCTAAGTCACTATGGCCTTCAAAATCTTCAACTGGGTAAAGCAGGTATTAGATTATCTCTAAGGTCTTGAGTACTTCTAGCCCTTTAAGTTGTTCAGTTTCAAGTAGAATTTGGTTGTAATGTCCAAAATCTAAAAGAGAAAATCAGTTTTTTGTTAGCCACATACAAGATATATATGTATATATATATATGTATATATCTATGCATGGATTTAAATTTTTTTCACCAAAATAAATTTACCTTTTTTAAATTCCATTTCCCTTGAACTTTTTGAATTACCCTTTAATTTCTACCTTAAGTGTTTATCAGATATCATTGATTAAAAATTAGTTACATCTGCCACATTCTGATTATAATAGTGTAAGTTATCATAGAATTATTCTAAATGGCCATTTTTGTGGAATTTTTTAATAAATATGAAAACAAACTGAGTGGCTATAGTAGGTCAAGTATATGTACTGTTTCAAAGTGATTAAAGTTAGCTGGGAGTAATTCACTTTTAGTAAAACAATTATTAAATGCAGACTAGTTTTACATAAAAATAAATTTGTAGACTAAGCCATAATGATAGTCTGGGAAATCAAAACTATCCATATGCATCCATATACTGTATTATATCTAACACTACTATGAATGTAAGTCAGGTGTGAGGTTTGCTCTTTGTTGATGTTTGTAAAGTACCATGAGCTCTTTGTGCATACATGAACCAAACTAGTTATGAGGATTTAAAAGCCTTTTGCTTCCCGTCAGTGTTAAGGCAAATCACTGGGCCATTGGTGTTGAAAATGTAGCTTAAAAGCTCAGAAAAGTGTGGCATATTTGTACAAAGTACATTGCATTTAAATAAAGCTAAGAACTTTATGTAATGACACTTGCACTTCACATTTATCCTTGGCCTTGTCACTCCAGCAAATATAACACGCTTAATTTTCTTTTGTGCAGAACTTTTGCTTTGATTGGGAGAGATGTTCTTGTATCTAAAGAGAGGAGCTCTGAAGAGGACATAGCAACTGAAAAGTCTGCAGTCATTCTTAGGAGGTCAATATTTTAGCTAAGGAGCCATGAGTGAAACACTATTTCTGAATAGGAAAGTTCACTAATTCGAAGAACTCTGCACCGATTTGATCCTGCCTGTTGAAAATGTAGAATTATTTTTTTGCCTTTTAATGTTGGAAACTTATCCTTGTTCTTACTGAAGGAAAGGATTTTTATATATTTAGATACAAGGTTACTGATCAGTATTCAAGCGCTAAATGAAGTTTGCATAGAGTGTTAACAGTTGCATACTATATAATATCCTATATAGGATATTAGCAGATCACTTGCAGAAAATAAATTTTAAATTTGGATTTCTGGCCTTCTTGTCATACTTGAATGCCTTGAAAGGGAAAATAATTCTACCGTTAGGGAACAGGTTCTGCCACAGTTTTGTGATTCTGAGTAGAATCAGTGTTTTGCAGACATATAAATGTCCTTGGGGAGAATATCTGTTGAAAAAGCTACACAAAAGTAAAGAGCACAGCAGATTGGTGGCTGGATGTCTACTTTGACCGTAAAATTTGAGGTGGTCCTGTAAGAACAGGCGTTATAGAGGATATCCAAGTTTGTTTACAATAAAACATTTTATAGTTTGATTGCATAGACAATGTGCTACATGTCGAACGTGAAAACCTCGCTACACTTTCACATACGTAGTAGCATTTAATGCAGTCCTGACACTCGGCTGTAGACGGCGTCAGTGGGTCCCGGAACGTTTCTGTTGGGGGCTTTTTGCTGGAGGGACCGGAAAAGAGGTAGCATACCTCATCAGGATGTCGGGAGGACACAAGCTGAGCTGCTCCGGCATTCGTTTTTTAGGAGTGCTTGGGTCTGTTTGCCGCGAAGCACCAGCTCACCGTCTTCGCTTAACAGGGGCGGGTGAGTGTGTGCGGCATTCCCGCTCGGCGCGCCGCGGGACAGGTGGTTCTGCGCAGGCGCGGGAGAGGGAGCCGCCGCTGGACTCCACACGCCGTCGGCGGAAACTGCGTCCTAGCTCCCGGCTTTCGCTTTTAGTGGAACACCGGGTCTAGGGTGCCATCCTCACCTTCGCGGACGCCGGGGAAAAAGCTGAGGATTAGCGGTACTGGCCGGAAAGAAGGCAGCCCGGGGGGCCGCCGCCATATGCCCAACGGCCTTTGTCTCATTTCAGTTGAGCTGGCCAACCTAGTGTGTGCTGGGGTCTCAAGGTCGTGCTCCCCTCCTTTGTCGGGGGGAGGAAGGGGAAGACAGGCCAACAGGTCTCTCCTGGTTATACTTCGCGTTCTGTCTGCCTTTTGTTCGCGCGTATCTTGACTTTTTTCAGAAAGAATTTAAGGGAGCTGTACTGCTCCGAAAGATCGCGCTCCCATCCGTTGGTTCGTTTCCCACAGGCCGGCAGACTGGGGGCCAGGAGCTCAGGACAGGTCTCGCGTGTGTGGCAGGAACCCAGCCACTGGAGTCGTCGCCTGCGGCTTCCCAGCATCGAACCAGAGCCCCAGCATCAAACCGAGGCACTCTGATACGGGATTTGGCATCCCAACCCGCCCCTTAACCTCCAGGCTTTATAAATGCCTACCTGTATACTTTTTGATAAATAGGTACCTCCAATACTGTATTTGCAACTTAAGGAAATAACTTACTGCACTTGGTGCTTGTAGGTGACAGTCTGTTAACTTCCAGTATTAAGTAGAAACTTAAGTTCATCCTTTACGTAAAACATATTGCTCAAATATGGTATGAAAAGGACGGTATGACAGAGGTGTTAGGGGCACTGAGAATTTAAAAATGAATAATATCTCACAGTTCTGATTAGTAAGTGTTAGGACAGAGCCAAGATTGGGATTAATGAGCTAAAAACAGCAATCTAACAGCCACCAATAGAGTTGGCACTTGTGAAAAAAGTGCAGTCAATACAAAATATTTAAAACTATTTGCGGGGCTAGCGCTGTGGCGCAGTGGGTTAATGCCCTGGCCTGAAGCGCCGGCATCCCATATGGGCACCGGTTCTAGTCCTGGCTGCTCCTCTTCCGATCCAGCTCTCTGCTGTGGCCTGGGGTAGCAGTAGAAGATGGCTCAAGTCCTTGGGCCCCTGCACCCACGTGGTAGACCTGGAAGAAGCTCCTGGCTCCTGGCCTCGAATTGGCGCAGCTCTGGCCTGTTGGGGCCATCTGGAGAGTGAACCATCGGATGGAAGATCTCTCTCTCTCTCTCTCTCTCTCTCTCTCTCTCTCTCTCTCTGCCTCTCCTCTCTCTGTGTAACTCTGACTTTTGAATAAATAAATAAATCTTAAAAAAAAAAAAGAATTTGCATCCACATGGCAAAATGATTAGGTTATAGTGTTGAGAAGCAAGTTACAGATCAGTGTGTATTATGAAGTTGCAAGTATAGATGTAGCTAGAGATACAGAGAGAATAGAGATAGACTGAAATTTTAGCAGTGATTGCTTGTGGTAGAGCAGGTGATGTTCTATCATCCCTCATGTAGTTTTATTTTTTTTTTCTGAACTGTTTTTCATTCAACAGCTATTTCTTTAGAAAAGGTACAATATAAGCTCTTTCCAAGTTTTGTAGGGTGAATGTAGAATGAGCATCTTAGCCATATTTGGGATCAGGGAAACTTCTTGCCTGAGGTTTATTTAGAGAACTGTTTTGAAGGAGTTGGCTAATTTTAGAAGCAGTTGAAGAGGCCAGAGGACGAGTTTGAGAATCTGTGAGAAAATGCAAAGTGTTCCTTAGAAAGTAAATTGTATAGATGGAGGCCAAGAGGTGAGGGCAAGGAGTTGCAAGGTATGAAGTAAGAACTTTCTAGGCCATACCTTATGAAAAGCTAGGTACACCACCTAGGGTTGACCTCACGCTGAGGACAGTGCAGATTACTGAAGGAGAAACAGAATTGGACTTCGGTTTGAGAAATAACACTCAGCAGCTGGGTAGAAAGTGGGATGGAGGCAGGGGAATCTAGGCTCCAAGGGAGTAATGCAGTGATTGAAGGTGATAAAGTATTTGCAAGAAGAAAAAGATCTATTGCCTGTCTTGTTCGCTGTCAGCATGGTACCTAATGATAAGTGACTTTTAGATGAATTAAATGGGAAAACATACCCATTCCTTTAGAACCTCAGATACCAAGATGATCACAGATTCAAGGTAGGGAGGAAATCAGTACCATTAGTACAAACTCAATTTCTTTTAATTGTGGTAAGGTGACTTAAAGCTTTGAGAATTCTGGCAATATTGATCACTGAAAGATTCATTTTCTAAAATAGGGGAGGCATGAGGGAGGTGAGGGGCTGTCACTGAGAAGGCAGATCCTCTCAGTCTCAGAGGCTCAGTTTCATCATAATAATACTTAATATATCCTTAATTGTATATCACAATTTATGTAATTCTTTTTATTTTATTTTATTTATTTATTTTTTTTATTTTTGACAGGCAGAGTAGACAGTGAGAGAGAGAGACAGAGAGAGAAAGGTCTTCCCTTGCCGTTGGTTCACCCTCCAATGGCCGCTGCTGCAGCCGGCACACCGCGCTGATCCGATGGCAGGAGCCAGGATCCAGGTGCTTCTCCTGGTCTCCCATGGGGTGCAGGGCCCAAGCACCTGGGCCATCCTCCACTGCACTCCCTGGCCATAGCAGAGAGCTGGCCTGGAAGAGGGGCAACTGGGACAGAATCCGGTGCCCCGACCGGGACTAGAACCCGGTGTGCCGGCGCCGCAAGGTGGAGGATTAGCCTATTGAGCCACGGCGCCGGCCTTTATGTAATTCTTTAAGAATATCTAAATTTAGCTACCTAAAGTTATAAGGAAGGTGACACTTGAACTGAATCTTTTTTTTTTTTTTAAGAGTTAGAGAGAGAGAGAGAGAGAGAGAGAAAGGTCTTCCTTCCGTTGGTTCACCCCCTAAATGGGCGCTATGGCCGGCGCCATGCTGATCGGAAGCCAGGAGCCAGGTGCTTCCTCCTGGTCTCCCATGCGGGTGCAGGGCCCAAGCACTTGGGACATCCTCCACTGCTTCCTGGGGCCACAGCAGAGAGCTGGACTGGAAGAGGAGCTACCGGGAATAGAACCTGACGGCCATATGGGATGCCGGCGCCACAGGCAGAGGATTAACCAAGTAAGCCACGGTGCTGACCCCTTGAACTGAATCTTAAAAGGTAGACCAGATAAAGTGAATGGAAGATTGGATAACATGAGCAAAAACCTAGAAACATAAAACTTTAAAAAAATATTGGAATGAATTTGGGCCAGAAAGTGAAGGACCTATTAAAAAATAAAGCAGCGCTCAGGAGAAAACAAAAAGACATGAAAGATAAATGACCATTAAGCTTCAAGAAGGATGCTTACATTCATGATAAGTAAAAACTATACTTGTTAGATCAGTCAGTATGAAAACATTGAATTTACAGTGTATGGGTGACAGTGTGGGGAAACCAGAGTACTAGACACTCATATAGCACAGGTCTTCAAAAAATTCATATTATTTGTGTACCAAAATAATCTTTTAGTTCCTTTTTCAACCAATTTTTGAAGAACCTTCATATTACTCATGGACTAGTAAGTTGGTTCAACATCTATGGGTGGCAACTACAAACTTAAAAATCTACGTACTCTAGCATGTTCTTGGGATTTTACTGTGAGTACTCTCAAACACATGAAATTACATATATAATTCAATCTCATGATTTTGATAATAGCAAAAAATTAGAAATACCTGAATGCCCATTAAGTGGTGACTGCATAAATAAATTATATCACACAATGGATTGTCATATGGCACTTAAAAATAAAATTTTACTTTCTTGCTATATATTTATGCTATATTATGAAACAATCTCCAAGATAAATTGTTAGGTGAAAAAAAACAAAATGCAGAAAATATATTGTATTACCTTTTTTATAAAGTAAGACAAAATAATACATTAAAATAATTCTGTGTGTTTTAAATGTCTCTGGAAGTTTAAATACAAAGCTGGTATCATCAGTCACCTACAGAAGAGAAACTGGATAGTTATAATCAAGGATGGTATGTGCCCTTTTTTTCCACTTCAAGTTTATTTATTTTCATTTTATTTGAAAGATACTACTAGTTTATTTATTTTCATTTTATTTGAAAGACCGAGTGACAGAAATGTTCCATTGATTGGTTCACTCCCCAGATGCTTACAACAGCCAGCACTGCTCCAAGGCAAAGTGAGGAGCCTGGAACTCAATCTAAGTCTCCCACATGGGTGTCATCACCACTGCCTCCTAGGTATTCATTAGCAGAAAACTGGATCAGAAGCCATGGAACTTGTACTTGAACCAGGTACTCTGATAAAAGATGTAGGGACCCCAAGAGGTGTCCCAACTGTGCACCAAATGCCTACTTCCCTTTTGTACTTTTTAATCTTTTAAAAACTATTTTGAAATAAGACTGCCAAAAAGTTGCAAAAATTATACAGAGAAGGGTTGGCATTTTGTTGCAGCAGGTTAAGCTGCCACCTGGGGTACCGACGTTTCACGCTGGAGTGGTAGTTCCAGTCCAGGATGCTCTGTGCTTCCATCTTCCACCTAATGCACATTGGAGCAACAAATGGTTTCTGCCGCCCATATGGAAGATGCAGATGGAGTCTTGGCTCCGGGCTTTACCCTGAACCATCCCTGGCTATTATCGCTGTTGGGGAATGAACCAACAGATGGAAGATATTTCTCTCCATCTCTCTTTCATTCTGTCTTTCAAATAAGTAAATCTTTAAAAAGATTTAAGAGAATTCCCATATACTCTTTACCCAGTTCCTTATTGATAGCATCTTAGTACATTACAAAGCCAGGAAATGAACAGTGGCATGATGTTATTAACTACAGACCTTATTTGAATTTCACCAGCTTTACACACATTACATTCATTGTGTATGTGTACGTGTGTTAGAGCACATGAGAATGTGCCCGAGCTGTATCACAGGTATGGATCTGTGTAACAACCATTGTATTTAGGATGTGGAATCGCAAATAATATTCCTGATGCTATTCCTTTATAGTCAGAACTTACACCCAAATTTAACCCTTGGAAATCACTGATTAACTAATTTTTTCATTTCAAAAGTGTTACATAAATAGAATTGTACAAGCATATACCTTTTCAGATTAAGTATTTGTTGGCTCAACATAAATACCCTTGAAATCCATGCAAGCTGTTGCATATATCAGTAGTCCATTCCTTTTAATTTGTGAGTAGTATTTCATGATTAGGAATACATCACAATCTGTTTAACTGTTCACCTATTATGTTTTTTTTTATTCTAGTTTGGGACTCTTAAGAATTAAGCTGTTGTGACATTCATGTACAGGTTGTGTGTGGACATAGTTTTCACTTCTCTGGGATAAATTCCCAAGGAGTGCAGTTTGCTGAGTTGTATAGTAAACATATGGTGGGGCCAGAGCCTCTTCCCTGTCTCCCACAAGGGTGCAGGGGTCCAAGTACCTTAAGCCGTTCTCTACTGCCCCTCCCAGGCCACTAGTAGGGAGCTGGATGGGAAGTGGAGCAGCTGGGTCTTGAACCAGGCATAAGGGATGCTGGCATCACCAATGGCGGCCCCACCCTCTACTCCATAATGCCAGCCCCTGTGCCTAACTATGAAGTCATTAAGATTTTGTCCAATTTTTCTTCTAAAAGTTTTATAGTTTTCAAGTTTGCATTTAAATCAGTGATCAATTTGGAATTCATTTTTATATAAGATGTGAGATTTAGTTCAGGTTTTTTTCTTTTTAAAAATATTGTCTTTTTTATTTGAAACACAGAGACACAGCTGGGGAGTCAGGACTGGGGAAGAGAGCCCATCCACTGTTTCACTACTCAGTTGCCCACAGTATTGCAATGAGTGGAGCTGGGCTGGGGCAAAGTCACGAGCTGGGTACTCCAGCTCAGCCTCCCACACAGGAGGCAGCAACTCAATTACTTGAGCCATTACTATTACCCCCCAGGGTCTGAATTAGCAGGAAGCTGGTGGTGAGGAGCTAGAGCCAGTTAATTATGAAACCCAGGCTCAAGTATGGCATAATAACCGTAATTGGTAGGCTAAACACCAGCCACAAGGTTTTTTTTTTTCCCTTGGGTCTATAAAGTCTAATTGTTTCATCACTATTATTGAAAACACTATTATTCCTTCATGAAATGATTTTTGCACTATTGTCAAAAACCAGCTAGGCAAACTTGTAGGTCTATTTCTAGACTCTGTTTTGTTCCATCTGTCTTTGTATCTTCCTCCTCCATTACCACACTGTCTGGATTACTATAGCTCTGGGGTAAGTTGTTTTTTTTTTTTTTTTAAGACATTTATTTATTTGAAAGGCACAATAACAGAGAGAGAGGGAGAAACAGAGTGAAAGAACAAAAGAGACAGAGATATCTTCTGTCAGCTGGTTCACTCCCAAAAAGCCTGCCACTGTGAGTGAGACCAGGTTCAAACCATGGGTCTCTCACATGGATGGCAGGAACCCATGACATGCTGCCTCCTGGACACACCAGAAGAAAGCTGGATTGGAAACAGAGTAGCTGGGACTCAAATTGGCACTCTGATATGTGATGCAGGTGGCCCCGGGTAGTGGCTTAACCCACTATGTTGCAATGCCCATCCCTATAGTAAGTCGTAAAATTGGGTAGTATGATTCCTGCAACTTTTCTTTTCTTTTCTTTTCTTTTCTTTTCTTTTCTTTTCTTTTCTTTTCTTTTCTTTTCTTTTCTTTTCTTTTCTTTTTTATTTGATAGGTAGAGTTATAGACAGAGAGAAACAGAGAGAAAGGTCTTCCTTCCGTTGGTTCACCCCCTAAAGGGCCACTACGGTCGGCGCTGCACTGATCCGAAGCCAGGAGCCGGGTGCTTCTTCCTGGTCTCCCATGGGGTGCAGGCACCCAAGCACTTGGGCTATCCTCCACTGCCTTTCCGGGCCACAGCAGAGAGCTGGACTGGAAGAGGAGCAACTGGGACTAGAACTCAGGGTGCCAGCGCCGCAGGTGGAGGATTAGCCAAGTGAGCCCACGGCACCGGCCCTTTATCTTCCTTTTCAATATTCTATTTCTTTTGCCTTTACATATACATTTTTTAAAAATGTTATCTTTTTTAAGATTTATTTATTTGAAAGGCAGAGAGTTACAAAGATCCAGAGAATTACAGAGAGGCAGAAGCACAGAGAGAGAGAGGTCTTCCATCTGCTAGTTCCTTGCCAAATGGCCATGATGGCAAGAGATGGGCCGACCCAAAGCCAGTAGCCTGGAGTTTCCTCCGGGTCTCTCTTGAGGGTGCAGGGGCCCAAGAACCTGGATAATCCTCTACTGCTTTCCTAGCCCATACCAGAGAGCTAGATTGGAAGTGCAGCAGGCAGGACTTGAACCGGTGCCCATAGGGGATGCTGGAACTTCAGATGGCAGCTTTACTCGGTACACCACAGCACTGGCCCTCCATATATGATTTAGAACCAACTTATCTGTATTTACGAAAAATTGACTGTTAGGATTTTAATAGGAATCATGTTAAATGTACAGAGCAATTTGTGGAGAATTGATGTACTTATTATGTTGAATCATCCAAGAAATAACATGATATGTCTTGCTTTTTTTTCCTTTTTGCAGTCTACTGAAATAAATACAATGTGATATATTTACAAATGAAAAGAAATTAACAATAGTATTTCAGAAGTTGAAAAGGCTAACAGTTATAGTACTGAACACTCAGCTCTTTATTCAGATTTGGAATTTCTTATGATTTTAATTATATGAAAATTAGGAGTCAATTTTGCAACCTAAAATATTTACTTATTAAAATATACAAAAAAAAAGATAAACAAATGAGTGCATATATGGAACTGCATGTCAGTCCAGATTCCTGCAGAGGGAATTCCCAGCATGACCTCATTCATATGTGAGGTCACAGGGGAATCTTTATTTATACACACACTTTCATCTACTGGTCCAGCTTATTAGTCCTCTGTTTCTTTTTTTTTTTTTTTTTAAGAAAGTTTTTATTTACTGAACACAAATTTCATAGGTACATGAATATACTTTAGGAATACAGTGGTTATTCCCCTGATACTTGCCCTCCCACCTGCACTCCCCCCACCTCCTACTCCCTCTCCCATCCCCTTCTTCATTTACTAAGTAAAGATTTTAACAGTTTGTATCCTCACACACAAAGTATAAAGTACTTTTTGAGAACAAGTGTCGCTCCCCGTCTTCGTGGGGGAACAACACAGGACCCTGCGCTGTTCTTTCGTCTGCTCGGCCCTCCCCGGGTTTGCTGCTGGTTCTTCCCGGGTTGGCTACTATCCCTTCCACCTCCGTGGAAGGGCAGTTCCCCCTGGCCACATTCCCCACTTCCGCAGGGGAGCGGCACACCGCCGGCCGGCTTTCTCGGGGGGCTGCACAGGTGTTCCTTCAGCTAGATGTTCCCCTTAGGTGTTCCCTGGTGCATGCCGTCTCTCTCCTCCTTTATAGTCCTCCTCCGCCAATCCCAACTCGGCTGCCCACACGCCGAGTACGCTGCTCTCCAATCAGGAGCAAGTCCTACAGTTTATTGGTTGAACTGGAGGCAGCTGTGCGGAAGCTGTTTACTTCTCTCCCAGCGCCATATTGTGGGAGAGCAGATGCATAGAATAAGTCTTAATTCCAGTAACTTAGTCCAGTCCGGATTGCTCCCCACAACAAGTTTTACAGTTAATTTTCATAGTACAACTCATTAAGAACAGTGGTCCTACATGGTGAGTTAGTGCACAGTGACTAATGTTGTTGATTTAACAACACTCTTATTTATGATGTCAGTGATCACCTGAGGCTCTTGACATAAGTTGCCAAGGCTGTGGGAGCCTTTTGAGTACACAAAATCTGACATTATTTAGATAGGGATATAAGAAAACTGGAAGTTCTCTCCTCCCTTCAGAGAAAAGTACATCCTTCTTTGATGGTCCCTTCTTTCCACTGGGCTCTCACTCACAAGAGATCCTTCATGTAGAATATTTTTTGCCACAGTGTCTTGGTTTTCCATGCCTGAAATTC